GTAAGTGCTCTCCTACTCGCGTTTCATCTACCCGTGACAAGTACTATGGGCTGACGTACTGCAGGTCTCCGATATACGGCCGTCTGGAATAGTGCAATGCTACAGACCAAGGATGTTTCGGCCGCGTTGCTATCTGGGCTGAAGAAGCGCACTCCCACGTTTGAAAAACTGTAATTTATTTGCATATTTCTCCGCAATGATGTTTCCGCGTGGACTAGCCAGTCTCTGTGACTCTTCTATATTTATACTCGGACCGATGCTCCGTGACTAAAGTTTGAGTCGGGGTAACGTATATACGAGCATATCCCTATGCCACATCGATTGAAGGATATAGATCAATCCTCCAATCAGCCACTGGAACTATCCGTCCAAATTCCAATGACAGGTGGAAAATCCCCACAAATGTAGTCCATACTCGGCCTTGCTGCGGGAAATTTCATCTTTCTGCATAGTCCACCCCACAGTAAACCTGCATCTCTGCAGAAACATATTAGAGCCGACCCCCTCTTCTGGTGAGAAATCCGGGGTAATAAGATTCTGCACATGCGTGCCAAGTTGCGGAGAAGCATCTGGCGCCCCGTGCCTCCCTTGATTTCAGCGCAAAAATCCTGAAACTCCGGTGGCCCGAAGGTGTGTCAGATTGTTCGTCACGTACGGGGTGAAAAAGAGGCCTGCAACGCGGTGGGAGATACACCGAGTTTTCATAGACTTTTTCCACGTATGCCTTTGCTTGTAGTTGTAGGTTGCTCGTATGGGCGTAGCAGCGGAGGAACTATATAAGAGTGTTGGTTGCTTCGGCCATGAGGGATAGACTTTCATATACAATTAGATACTCCGGAATCAGTCCTCAAAGCTATCAATCTCGATTCAAAATGAAGTGCTTCGCTCTCCTATCAGCGCTTGCCCTCCTTCCCGGCACCTTGAGTGTAACCATCTACATGGCGGGTGATTCAACCATGGCCAAGAACGGAGGTGGAAGTGGCACTGACGGTAAGTCCCAAGCAAGGGAGGCCATTTGCAAGATACATCTCTAACGCTCTCATCAAAACAGGATGGGGTCAGTACATCTCCACCTCCGTCTCCGCCACAGTATCGAACCAGGCAGTTGCCGGCCGCAGTGCTCGCTCTTATACCCGCGAAGGCCGTTTCCAAGCCATCGCGGACGTCCTGAGCGCAGGCGACTATGTAATCATCGAGTTCGGGCACAACGACGGCGGCTCCCTCTCCACCTCCGATAATGGCCGTACAGACTGTCCCGGAACAGGCGACGAGACCTGCACTACCACTTACGACGGTGTCACGGAAACCGTGCTCACCTTCCCCAAGTACTTGGAGAATGCTGCGAAGTTGTTTCTGTCCAAGGGTGCCAAGGTGCTGATCTCCAGTCAGACGCCAAACAATCCGTGGGAGACCGGCACCTTCACCTATTCTCCGTCGCGCTTTGTCGGTTACGCCCAATTGGCTGCACAGACCGCTGGCGTGGGTTTGGTGGACCATGGCGCCTATGTGGCCGCCATGTATAAATCTCTGGGCATCACGACCGTCGATTCGTATTTCCCACTTGACCACACCCATACCAGCCCTGCAGGAGCTCAAGTTGTTGCAAACGCTTTCCTCAAGGCTGTAGTGTGCAGCGGCGCTAATCTGAAGGCCGTCTTGAAAACAACGAGTTTCCCGGGCACATGCCTGTGATTGAGACCCCTGCTGGTTTGCAGACCACGATGTGGTCTTACCGATAGTCCTTATGTATATGAGAATTGATGCAGAATCCAAATCAGTCAATTATTCAAAGATGTATTAGTGCCGCAGTACATATCAAAAAGAATGTTCAATGAAGTCAGTCCACGAACGACGTTCAAAGTATGACCGAAAGTGAAAATACACAGTATGGCCGTCGCTAGATGCTAGTCATAAGCTCGTCAGAACTGCACGCTGCGCTGTGTGGTATCTTTAACTTGAAATAAAGACAAAATGATTATTTTAGTTCCTCCAGGGTTGCTTTGACAATTCCGCGCTTCTCCACACGTCGATAGTATTGCGCCAAATTGGGATATTCGTCGTTCGAAAACGGTCCACACGTCTGTACAATATCTCGGAGTACTGGCCAGAGGAAGCAGTCATCGAGCCCAAGTGCTGCTCCCCCAAGGTAGTACTGCCCGTCCAGAGCCTTCTCCCATGGATCCAAGGATCCCGGGGTAATCTTTTCACCATTGCTGTGGGATGTTCGCCAGTCCTGTAAAAGCTCATTGATCTCGAGAAGCTGGCTGCCACCACCCAACACTTCCACGCCCGCTCGAGTTAGCTCTGGCGCATGCTTTGCAAGATACTTCATAATATCCAGCTCCCCAGCAACTTCAGTGCCGTCCGCTGTGATAAAGATCGGCCACGCTTTCCCCTTCGCGCCGTTTGCGTCGTCTGAAGAAGTTGTCACCTCGTATCGGATACCATTCTCACTGAGCGCGAGTCGAACTCGGAGATTGGACACAGGGTCGGAGTCCTCAACCAACTTAGCTGTCGATGTGGTGACAAAGTTGACCACATCGAACCCTCCGCCATACACAGCATCCCAATCAAACTCAGTGGCCTGATTCTCCTGGCCGAACGCGCGAACCAGCCGCTCTGTCCCTACAGGGTCTCCATGGATTACACTATTCGCCTGACTCTGGTCTTTGGAGGTAGCTCCTTGGCCCCAGATTGCATCACCGGCCTCGTTCAAGAAAGTGCCAATGTGTCTGAAGGTGAGCGATATGCGCTCGCCTCCATAAGCCAGCTCTTCTGCGGATTTCTCGGCCTCCTGCCGCTTGTCGGGCCGTATGCCATGCAGCCAGCGCATGTTCGTCTTCTCTCCCAGGATAAAGAGTGACTCATGTGGCATGGGTATGCGCTGCGTGGGTCTTTGGTCTTCGTCCGGAGCTTTGACTTTGTTTCGGAGTGTCATCACTCGCTGAGCGCCAAGGCTCACGTTGCAGATAAAGGAACCTCGGACAATATCAAGCGTCTTGTCTGAATGCTCGGATATGCTATCCTGTCCGTCGCGGTAGAGTTGAATGAGGACGTGGTTGAGCGGGTGACCAAGGATACGTTCTACAATGATGCGGATCTGGTTCACAGTCGGTGTGAAAGGGCGTAACGGTGGAGATTCATCCGCGGGATGGCGGTATATAGGGACGGATCCGTCATTCAGTGTTTGTCCTTGGACTGCGACAAGACGAGGAACTTGCCCCGTCATATGGTACATCTTCTGCCAAGCGACCTCGCTGCGGATACTCGCAAAGGCGTCCTCAGGTAGGTCCAAGTCATAAATGATGCGGGAATCACCCTCTCCAATCTTATCACCCGGCCCGCGTATATCTCGCGACTTTTTGGTCTTACCGCTCCGTCGTTCTTCTGTCCGATTAGACGCCTCCGCCTTTTGATCTTGTCGTCTTGTGCGACGCACACGTATACGTGCCTTCTTGTCTCCCGCACCATGAGCCTGAGACGAGCTTCCTGGTGAGCCGGATGGTCCGTAGCGAGAGCGGGAGCGGGTCAGGCTTGTCAGATCCAACAAATCGTCTTCCTCCTCGTCAGGCCGCTCTGCTAAGAGAGCATCGAGTCTCCGTCGCCGACTGCCCAACGACTCCGGTGTTCTCTCGTTGGCCGTGGGCTCCCGGATTGTTTTGACATCGAGTTCATCCATTACGCCTTCGATACCAGCGGGCGTAACAGCTCGCACGGGTCTGTGTGCACTTTGACGAGCAATAGCGTCGGTCTCTTGCCAATCAAGCTCTTCGAAAAGCTCCTGAGTTGTAATTCCACTGGCGCCAAATATATCGGCCATGCGGCGCATAGCTTCCTCATGACGTACAAAATCGCGGAACCCCAGGCAATCCTCAATGAGGGTTACAGAGAAGCCGTGGCGAACAGCGTCGAGGGCGGTAGCATACACCGAGACATTAGAGAGCGAACCGCAAAGATATAGCTCCGTAATAAATCTTGTGCGAAGAGAAAGTATCATTCCGTCATCTTGTAGAGCGGAGTAATCCGACTTGTTTATCAAAGTGTCGTTTTCGGCATCGATAGCAGCCAAGATGGGCGCGGGGAATTGAAAGCCGTTCGACTGCGGCCGGCAACATTGCGAAGACTCGCTCGATAGAAACGCTTCCTCATCGACCGGTGTTTCCGAGTTGGGTCGCTCGTGCCTTTTCCTTCGTTCGTCCGTATCACGACCTAGCACTACCCGGTCCTGGAAGTCCGAATCTATGAGGGGTCGATGCGATTCATAGTGGGAGCGGACCCAGATAACATCACCGGTGCGACGAAAAGCAGTGACCAGTGGCGCGATATTTTCCAAGATATCAGCTGCATTAGGAACGTGCAGTGCACCAGATGGGCGAACAAAATCGTTTTGAAAATCGAGGAGCAAAAGAGCTTTTCGTGTCTGGATGGTGGGCAGAGCGCTGAATGCGGAGAGAAGGCGGCTCATTGTATACACATGGTAAGAGGAGCGTAAGTGATGTTCTTAGAAGATATCCGAATAGGACAACGTGAGCCGCCTGCTACAGGATAAGACACGATAGTTGATTATGACTCCTCGATGCAGGGTGGAGAGGAGTTGAGACAATCACCGATCGTTGACTTTGGAGCCTGGTGGTTGTTGACGCTGGCGGGGTATACGAGAATTATGATACCTCAGGCAACAAGGCGTCGGTCTCCGAGACTAAAGTACCTACAAAGTACCTCTCCACTCCGTACACTTAAGGTACATCAAAGTGCTAGCCTGCGAGGTACCTTACCTCTGTTACTCTGTATGACAAGTACCTCCACCACTACTATGTAGACATGTGGCTCCGCATTAACTTGGACGCAATCTAGAGCAGAAGGCAATGGTCCTAAATGAGAGGAATGGGTGATAATTAACAGATTGATATGAATCACCATAATGATTACTATTATCTCAAAACCCCCGAATTCTAAGACTCTGTGACTCAACCTTGGGATTTTCTCCATATTCTGGGTGGATGCTCCCCGTGGACGGAGCACAGATTTCACTATGGGGACTAAGAAGAGCAGACAGATCGTTCAGCACGACGATGGCGGTGTTCCTGTTGGCCAATCATACGGCGTACTATCCGACATCGGCCGGGGAGCTCAACACCAACTCCGGTCACGTGCCTCACACAGCTGGTGCAGTCGTCCTCGACGACGAGCTTATAAGCTCTCAGCGTCCGTCCCCAGGAAACTTTCCTTTTTCACTTCATTATTTTCCTGCAAGCATCAAATCCTTGACCAATCTCCCCTCCTCTTGCTTCCTCTACACTCTTTTCCTCTATCTTCACATCCTACGCATCACAATGGCTTCCCGTGGACTCCCCCGTGCCCTCCGTCTGGCCCGTGTTGCCGCCCCTCGCACAGTCATCTCGGCCGCCCTCCCCCGGCCTGCTCTCGCTAAGGCTGCTACCCGTGTGGCTGCCTCGACCGCCCCCGTCCGTGGTGTCAAGACCATGACCTTCGCTGATTCCAAGGAGACCGTCTACGAGCGTGCGGATTGGCCCCGTGAGAAGCTCCAGGAGTACTTCAAGAATGACACTCTCGCTCTGATCGGTTACGGTTCCCAGGGTCACGGCCAGGGTCTCAACCTCCGTGACCAGGGCCTCAATGTTATTGTTGGTGTCCGTAAGGATGGTGCCTCGTGGAAGGAGGCCGTTCAGGATGGCTGGGTTCCCGGCAAGAACCTGTTCGACGTCACCGAGGCCGTCCAGAAGGGTACCATTGTCATGAACCTGCTTTCCGACGCGGCCCAGAGCGAGACCTGGCCCACTCTCAAGCCCCTGATCACCAAGGGCAAGACCCTCTACTTCTCCCACGGTTTCTCTCCCGTCTTCAAGGAGCTCACCAAGGTCGACGTCCCCAAGGACGTTGATGTCATCCTTGTCGCTCCCAAGGGTTCCGGTCGTACCGTCCGCACCCTCTTCCGTGAGGGCCGTGGTATCAACTCCTCCATTGCCGTCTACCAGGACGTCACCGGCAAGGCCAAGGAGAAGGCCATTGCCCTGGGTGTTGCCGTCGGTTCCGGTTACCTCTACGAGACCACCTTCGAGAAGGAGGTCTACTCCGATCTGTACGGTGAGCGTGGTTGCCTGATGGGTGGTATCCACGGTATGTTCCTCGCTCAGTACGAGGTCCTGCGTGAGCGCGGCCACAGCCCCTCTGAGGCCTTCAACGAGACCGTTGAGGAGGCCACTCAGTCTCTCTACCCTTTGATCGGTGCCAACGGCATGGACTGGATGTACGCCGCTTGCTCCACCACTGCCCGTCGTGGTGCCATCGACTGGTCCAGCCGCTTCAAGGACACCCTGAAGCCTCTTTTCAATGACCTCTACGACAGTGTGCGTGACGGCACTGAGACCAAGCGCTCGCTCGAATACAACTCTCAGAAGGACTACCGCGAGAAGTACGAGAAGGAGATGCAGGACATCCGTGATCTCGAGATCTGGCGCGCTGGAAAGGCCGTTCGGTAAGTTACTTACTTCAATCGCACAATTCGTCTACGACCATATGCTAATCATCGTGCAGTTCCCTCCGCCCTGAGAACCAGAAGTAATTTAATTTTGCATCAATGGGAAGGCCTGGGAAAAGTTACGACTGTACTATGACTTGATTTCTTTTTTCTTACATGTGATTCTTTGAGTTATTAATTGGGAACTGAATACCACATTTCATTTATTATTTTTCATATTTCAGAATCGCAATGACTGTAGACGCACATTTCACCATTTTCGTAGCCGATGACTCAAATCAGCCTTGTGTCCAATGAGGAGCTCCGCCGTTCGTATTTATCTTTCCTACCTCCTAAGAATTCAAATACTTCTTTTTCCTTTCCGTTATCAAAAGCGAGACATCTAGAATCTCAAATTCAACATGGCCGAACCTTCCATTACAGCGCGAGCATTGACCCCCGATGCCGTGCGCTCCGCCTATGCCTTGATCCAGCCGTACGTCCACCGCACGCCTCTCCTCACCTGTCAAACGCTCAACACCATCGCCTCGACCCCTCAATCAGCCGAGTCATTGGTCGGAACGCCCTTCGAAGGCCAGACGCCTGCAAATCCCAAGTTCCGATTCTTCTTCAAATGCGAGAATTACCAGCGGATCGGCGCCTTCAAGGCCCGCGGAGCGTTCCACGCTTTGCTGCGACTCCTCGCAGAGCGGGGTGAGGAGGAGGTCAAAAGACGCGGCGTGATTACGCATAGTTCGGGTATACAATTTACCAAATCATGCTTATGTTGGAGGTTAATGATGCTGACAACAGAATAGGAAACCATGCTCAAGCCCTCGCCCTCGCTGCCTCCACCCTCCACGTCCCCGCCTACATCGTCATGCCCAGCATCAGCACCCCGTCGAAGATAGCAGGCACACGCTCGCACGGCGCAGAGGTCGTATTCAGCGGCTCGACGAGCACCGAGCGCGAAGCCGTCGTAGCAGAGATCCAGGCCAAGACAGATGCAATCCTCGTCCCGCCGTACGATCACTTCGATATCATCTGCGGCCAGGGCACGACCGCCTTGGAGATGGAAGACCAATACCGTGCGCTTCTCTCCGACAAGCCGCATCTGAGTGCTCACGCCAGCGGGGCCGAGGCCCTCGATGCGGTGATCACACCCGTTGGGGGCGGGGGGCTGAATGCTGGTGTTGCGACGTTCTTCTCCGGGAAGCCTACGCGTGTCTTTGGCGCGGAGCCCAGCTTTGAAGGCGCGGACGATTGTCGCCAGGGACTGGAGGCGGGTCAGCGCGTGGAGTCCGTCAAGACACTTACCATTGCCGATGGGCTGCGCACGCCTGTGGGGATCTTGAACTGGGAGGTCATCTCGGACCGGAGTAAGGTTGCTGGTGTGTTTGCCGTGACTGAGGACCAGATCAAGGCTGCGATGCGGCTTGTCTTGGAGCGCATGAAGGTGGTTGTTGAGCCTAGTGCGGTCGTCGGCCTCGCAGTTTGCTTGTTCAATGAGGAGTTTAGGCGACTCGTTGAGAAGGAAGCTGGTCCCGATGGATGGGACATGGGTATTGTGTTCAGCGGGGGTAACACTACCGTTGAGGCAATTGGGAAGTTATTCGGCTGATGCCGAAGCCGTCAGAGATGTGAAGCACAGTATATCATAGCATAGCATCATATAGTTTGTGCACATAATGTACATACATCATTATCATACGTAAGGCCAAACACGAGGAGTCATGGTATCAGACAAATTCAACGCCGCCTCTGCCTACATGAAACAAGAACACGCCCCCATTTCTCTCCTTCAATCCGTCCACAAATCTCCGGGGCCATTCCTCGCGTTCCCATTCATTGACCCAGCCCAGGAATCTTCCTTCCAAAACAACATTCTGTCGCATGACTGCATCCCGCTGCGCATCACGGGCAGTCATCATCGGCGGAAACGGACGCACCGCATCTCGCCGAACCACAAGCCGTAGCGTCGCGAAAGTGCCCCATGCAGCGGGCAACGGGCAACGAAAAGAAGGCATACTTCTGGCTGCCGTCACATTTGACGGGTTGTACAGCTCGAACGGGCCAGAGGGTTGTTGCGTTAACTGGCTGTGGCTCTGATAGCCAGTTACCGATCTGCTGTTTAATGTATTACAAGTGTAGGCGACTATACAGCCGAAGTGTCGCTGTAGGTTCTTCAAGTTTTGTACCAGTTCCGCATAGATATCTGATAGAAAGAATATTCGCTTCTGGTTTCGCTCGTGCTCGATCTCGGCGACAGGGCGTCCAATGTTCTCTGTGCGGGCGACATCGTCGTGTAGTTTATCTTGCCAGAAGAAGGCAGTCGCACTGTCGATGAAAATAGCGTGTAGTGGTCTGTGAGAAGAGTAATGGCGCGATATGTCGAGCAGGTATGCTTGCAGGCTGTTCAGCGTCGCGAGTAGAGAAGCCGATGATTGTGGACGAAACACATGGACGTGTTGTAGGGAGCTCACGATAATGGATTCCAGCTCTTGAGTAGCAAGAAGCGGCGGATGTATCTGCCCCTCTGGTGACTCTCCGCACCCTGTACCAGAATGCACCTTGAGCTTTCTGTCTATGAGCCCACAGGCAACAGTTCGAAGTCGCTCGGCGTCAAACCGGCCATCTGCATCAATAAAGACGACGGCTGAGGCCTGACCATCGACTCGAATGCCGTTGATTGTCGATGGCAGGACGGCAATTGCAGTGAGATAATATAGTAAGTGAGTCTTGCCGGCTGCTGAAGATATGCTGGAGATTTCTATAACTGGGTCGATTTGCTTTGTGAGAGATGCCGTAGGGAGCCTGCGGTCTTCGGCTGAAGCATTCTGGTCATCCTCAACATCCGCTTGCATGTGCTGCACCTCATGTTCACTCTGCTGCTCTTGATATGGATCTCGTCCCGCCTGTTGAATCTGAGTCTGAGCAGCAGGGAGGGAAGGCATGAACGCCTCCAGAAGGGCATCCAACCGTTTGACGCCCAACTGCGAGGTGCTCTCTCCAGGACTGTCCGGAAATAGAGTTCTCAAGTCATGTAGAAGCTGCGAATCTCAGCATGGATACCCCTGGAGTCAAGTCCGAACATGATGCGCAGCAAGCATGCCGATATAAGCATTATAATGTTAGACATACCTCATCCAGGCGTTCCGTGTGTACTTCCCTCAGCAATTTCCCCCCGAAACTGGCCGCCATTTTACACGGGCGAGCTGAACAGATGTCATGGATATTTTGGCATCATATTTTGTTATTGGTCGTTGTTAAGTTTCTACAGAAGACATGGTATTGAGCATGGGCTGGGTATTTGTTGTCCCGGCGTCCATTCAACATCCGCATCGGTCCCGACTCATTAATCGCATCGCCAAAAGACGGAGGTTTCTGGTTTCCGCTTCCATCGATTTTCTTCCTGCACCATCTGATTGAAGCAGAAGATACTATTTACCCATTACGATATCTTGGCCCTTGTTAACTACTCGACTGGAACAGAAAGCTACACACACTACGAGATCTCCAATGGCGCCCCTCGTTCCTGTCTTCTCCGCCGAATCTCTCCCCGAGCATGTCAATACCGTCAATCGAAATTTCCAGGAAAGACGTCGCAAAGGCGGGCCAGTCGACCTGGAGAGTTGCAAGTTACTGGAGATGGTGCAGTACTCGTGTAATCCGCCTCAGGACGGCATCCCCAAGCCAGGCGTTGTGACGTGCAAGCCCATTGTCCGGTTATTCAGACGGTAAGTCCTCCTGCATTACTTGCTGGATTCACTGATTGACTTTTCCTTTCCCAAAGGTGTGCCGGTGGATTAACGGTCGAAACGACAGCATGGGAGCCCATCAGACTGGCCGAAGAAGAGGCGAAACGAAAACGTGCAGCAGAGGCCACTCAGGCGTGATACGAAAGTACTTGCATTTGGGCGGAGTTGGGTTCGGAAGTCTACAGCAATCGAATACCAGGGATCTATCATTGCCATTTCTACCAACTGAATCGCATAATTTCTCTGCATTGTACTCATTGGGTATCTTTTTGAGTTCGCTCAATACAAAAATCACAACGCCCTGACGCCGCCCGCCGCAATGCGAAATGAACTATGTGCTCACCCAGCTTTCCACTCGCGAAATACTTGTGGGATCCTTCATTCCGGCTGGTTTCTCTTCCGCTTTCCGATTGTTGGGGGCCGTCATTCGGCGCCAGAGACCTCTTTCGCAATTGATGACTGGTGGAAGCTCCAGGCTGACTGAGACCTTCGGCCGAGTCGCCTTGAGCTCCGGATCCGCAGCCGCTCCAGAATCAATATCCATCGTTGCAGCTGTGCCCGGCGCAGTTACATCTTTGTGCATTTTCTTCGCGATGCCTTTGACTGTTTTCTCAAACATACTGTCCAAGCTCTCCATCCTCCGACCCCACAATCTCTTTTCGCGACCCGCCGAGCCGAGTTGATTATCCTTGAATGATGCCCGTGCCAGCTTGCGCAATGCCTCCTCGCCATGTCTTCCCTCTTCAGTCGCGCGCTCACGAATTTTTCGTGGGTCTTGCTCCCGTTGTGTGAACACAGGTGTGTGCCGGTATGTATGTTTACTGGGAAATTCAGGGAAATGCTTTGGGACATATGCGCTTCGAACACGGTCACTTTCGCCGCTCAGTTCAGGGCCGAGGAATGGTAAGCTCAACCAAGCATCCTCTTCTGGTGGAGGACTAGGCAGGAGTGAAGGAACAGGTTCGATATTTGGCAGAGGTTTCAAGTGCGGAAGCAGATCGTCCACGCGCAAGTGGTGTCTTTTGAAGGCGAGTTCAAAGTCTTGGGGTATAGGTTGATTGCGTCGGCTCGAGAGCATTGATTGGCGCACAAAAGATGCGAGTTTTAAAAGGTCTAACAAGCAGCTTAGTTAAAGAACACAGCCGACACATTCCCCTGTGTATCTCTATTCAAGTCATTCTGGCAAGAGGTAACATACACTCCTCTGTAGCATAGCGAAAACTGTCCAGCGCGACCGGGTCGGCGAGATCAAATCCGGACTCTCTGAGACATAGCCCGATAGAGCGATTCATCAAGTGATCGACGTGGGCGTCATCGGTGATCGCGGGCTCCGGAAGAGCTGGGATA